CCTGTTCCTAATTAATTCGATTGTCAATTTTTATTTAATGGATCATATGAAGATTTTCTTCATAGTAAATCTATATTAGAGCTAATGCATTCAAGTTTCACAAATCGTCTTTAATGCACACAATTAGATTATAATCGAATGCATATTTCTACAAAATAATAATTGTAAACTTTAAGTAATATATCGATCAATTTTCGGATAGTCTGAAGCATTATCATGTCCTATTCAAACAAGATTTATATCAGTTTAGAATAGAGTACATTGTATACAATTAAGTTGACTAATGAGATTCTTGAATAAGGTAGAAATCGTTGTCACGGTATGGAATCTTCAAAACATATCACTTTGAAAAAACGTTTATTAGTGCACATAATGAGCAAAGAATTTTACAAATACTCAAAAAAACATATAGCGTAGGCATATGCCTTCGTATATGATGTGCCTTATCATCAACATTAGTTGTTAAAACAGCAACATTCTAAAAAAGCGCATTCACCTCCTTTATAGCGCCTATCCTTGCAGCTACGTTCGCACGCTCTTCCACCGAGTGGACATCCAAAACTAATGCTACAAACACCACGACGTACTCTAATTGACCTGTTTTCACCATTATCTAACACCGACTTGGCAGCTGAAATGAGATAAATATTATATGAGAGAATCGATTTATAATAATTTACATAAATACTTACAAACTGAAAGGCTCATTACCATGAGAGATAAAACGAAGAAGAGTAGTAAAACTCGTCGCATTTTATTGCTTGTATAATATGAAATCGTTGATAAAAACTCGATAGTTGGTTTGACAGTGTGCGAATATAATAATATTTATTTTGGCTTCGCTTATATACATGTCGGTTTGTAAAAGTACTTAAAGAATATTTAAATCATTCTGTCAATACATATACTGGATTTACTGCCGCATGATTTACTATCGAAAACAATATTCACCAGGCGCGCATTGCTTACATGCAAAAAACTATAATTAATATATTCAGTTATCAACTTGAAAATAAAAACATTCACAGAAAGGTTTTGTTAAATTATAGAGAATCTTATAAAGTACTTAGTACGACTATACTGAAGTAAAATTACTGAGGTCCTAGTACTAAGTACACTGGTCCAGCACATAGTATATGTACTTGTACTACATAAATGTACTGAGTACTGTAGATTTGTAAGTAAAAAATACGAAAATACTTAAGTACTGTAATTAGTATCCAATCATCGTGCCCAACCCCGCTCTTGCTCTTGTAACCTGCATAAATAATTTGCGTACAAGAATTATGTGAAGTATTTGTTAAAGTGTTTTCTTCTGATTATGTAAAATTTATGCGAAAAGAATTTAAATATTATTATTTTTATATCATATTTTACTCTTAAATAAATTAGCATTTTATATTTGGGTATTGAATTATTTTCTAGGATCAGCCGACAAAAAAATAAAATAAATCTATTTTTATACTATCATATCAACATGTTTCTGCTTTTCTTTATTTTTTCTTTTGGTCAAAGGAAATATAATTATATCAAATATTTAAAAAAATTGTATTGATTTTGTATTTTTTACTTTAAATATGAAACTATTATTATCAGGTAACGAATAGTATTTCTCTTTTATTTTAAAAATCTTATCAACTAATATGATTACACATGATACCAAAAAAATGAATCACATGATAATTTTTTATGTTTTGTAACAAAAATGAGTAAATTTCCTTGCATGGTGTTTTGTTCACACCATATATTCTCTGAAGTAAATTTCTACTGAATAAAATAAAACGAAGCCTCAAATGATTTTCGATTTGTACATCGAATTTTTTGAAGTATGGGCGATATTAAATTTGATTATGTCAGCGACAATGATATTCATGAGTCCAATAAAAAAAAGTTGCCACTAAAATAAAACATATATGGGTGATTTGCGCTACCATTGTACCGTTTGATTAAAAAAATCGAAAAAAATAAAAGTGAACATGAAGAAAACTTGAATGACACATTCGATATAGCTATGTTAGTTATGTATATTGCAGATAGTTTCCCAACTGTCAGTCCTTTTGTTTTCGAGGAAATCGATTTCTCTAAAAATATTGAATAATGTAGATTTTCTGTTAAGATATTATTCTCGGAACGCTTTTTTTTACCAATATCAAGAGGAGAAAGAACAAGATAATACATCTCCTAATCATCTAAACTATCAAAAATCTTCAATAGATATGTGAAAACAATCATTCATAACATTCTGACACTAGAAAATCTGTCGGGACATTTTGATATAAAGAAATCTGTCGGGACATTTCTTGGAAAAAATATTCTTTTCGCATGAACGATGATTGTTTAAGAGCTGATATTTCCATGGTAGGTTTACCACTTAGCGAGGTTAAAATGATAAAAAAATGGTCGATCAATTTCCCTTATTTATCCAGAAATCAAAGAAAAAAAAATAAAAATCTGTCGGGACATTTAGTGCAACCATAGCCACTTGCTCACTTTATTTTTCGTTTTTTATTTGATTCGAAAGTTCATTAGAGAAAACTTTTTTTATAGAAATATTTCTCACTCTTTAGTCTTCATATATATACAAAAAAATCCGCAATTTGGTTCCGATTAACTTTAGTAGGTCGAATTTAATCTGTCGGGACATAAAATAGTCAATGTGTGCGTCAAAGTAATTTTACAATATTTTAGAGACAATTCGATAATAAATTTATAATTATTCAGTGTGGTTAGATAGTACAGAGTATCAGCTGTAACATAGCTGTCAAATAGTATTTATCCAATCAAAATTTTAGAATATGTATATAATCTTTTTCATCAAATGGCGTCAGAAATCATCATTTTTGATTTTCTTGTTCCAAACTCGGAGGGAAGGAAACGAAAGAAAAGTTTAAAATTTTTACCGTAAGTAGGCCTTTAGTATGTGGTTATGTGAAAAAAAAATCACTGAAAGTTATTCAGTAGAACATGAGTTATAAGTATTTTTATCTAAGAAATGCGAACGGTACAATGGTAGCGCAAATCACCCATATAGATATACATAGTTGATGTTGAGAATGTCATAAAAGATATTCATTATATATTAATTGACTGTTGAATTGAATATTTAAGATTCGTATTGTTAACAGTAGCGGATTTAGGGGGCCGATCGCCCCCCTCTTCCGAATTTTTTTAAATTTTTTACAGCAAAAATGAACGAAAAATTGGTTCACACTACTTCGGTTGGACTCAAAAAATAGCTTTTAACCAAAATCGCCCCCCTCCTTCCCAGGTATCGCCCCTACATACTAAAAAAAAATCCCCCCCGCTTCCAAAATCCTAGACCCGCCACTGATTGTTAACATAATGTTTTTGCATATTTTGGTTTAGTATATTGTTTGCGTTAAACGATGTATCTAGGAAATATTTATATTTATTTGTCGCTGGATTAGTACAACTAGATAATCTTAGAGAAACAAAAGAAATTTTTTTGTAAATATGAACATATTAGTTATTAACGACGTAATAAAAAAATATATTATTTGATAAATTTTTGTTAATTAAATAGAAACAATAAATAATCATAATTACCGTAATTTAGGCACTAATGTTATGTTATTCTCTTACTTTTTTTGGGAATTGCTTATATATATTACAACATTGACAAATATTTTTCAGTTTAGTAAAAAAAAAATTCTTATTAATAAAAATAGTAAATCTCAAATTTTTTTGCAGAATGTTAATCAAATTTCAATACTCTACGCTAAAGAAACCTGTATCTAACTGAATACAATATGTTTTTATACTGATATTTGGTTGATTAATTCAAATAGGCAAAAAAAAACGTTTCGATATATAATGAACGATCGTTGTTGCTAATTACCTGCAGCTATCTCTCTTTACATGTATGCTCTTTGAATAATGAAACGTGATCTATAATATCAACGACTGACTATACTTTGAAATTTGCAATATTTAAGCAATTTGGCATGCATCTATTCAAACTTGTATTTTTAAAATTTTATTTTATTGATGATTAAAAAAAATTGATGAAAGTCAGTAAAAGAAATTAGTTTATTTCATTCATTAGCAAAGTTTAATATTAAAAAAACTATTAATATATCCGGCATTATATGCACATATAACTTTAATTGCCCTTTACAATCTTATCTATCAAAAAAATGTTAATCGTTTATTTTGTAAGGATAAATTAATGTTATATATAGTAAAGAAAATATTAAAATGAACAGTTTTATGTGAAGGACATTGCATGACTAAATTTAGTGATTTCTAGCTAAAAATAGGTACAGATCAATAAATAATTTTCATTTTTAACGAATAAAAGTTACGAAGTAACATGCACAAACCAAAATCTATATTATGAATTGCGAGTACTCAATAAAAATTCTGATTATATAGATTTATGAACACCTATATCTAAGTAATCTTGCATAATAAAAAGTATTTATTCTATGATATCTATATGATGACAGGAAATTATCATATATACGATCGACATTGCTCTTATCAGAAATAAAAATTTTTTTTATGATTTAAAACATTTCCTTTTTAAGCTAAAATACTCAAACTATAGATTATTGCTATTAAGTAATACAATTGTTTATATAAGATAAATACAGTTTTGAAAAATATATTATCATGATTTATTATAAAACATAAAAGTTACTTCGAATTTTTTTTTAAAACAAGGTAAACATAAGCCAAATTCAATTCAAATGTACATACACGTATATTTAGTGTAACAAACAATATGTATATATGTACTGAATCAAGAACAATATCATTCGTATTTTTCTCGTCAGATCAATCTAGCTGATTATTACCGCACATTCCAGTATTCATTCTCAATTATCAAATTGATATTGTATACAATAAAGAATACTTATACTCGTGTCTTTTTACTCCTACTCAGTACGTACACTCATTAACATATAATACAAAGTACATAAAAAAAGAAAGATTAATGAGCCGGGAAGCTCAAATAATCTGGTACTTGTCTATAAGTACCACAAGTCTGAAATATAATTAGAAAAATATGAAGAATAAACACGAGTTTGAATCATAATATTCATTAGTAAAAAAACTCGGTGATATAACTAGTATACTTTGTTTATAAATAACCTTGAACTTCTTTGCACTGATCTATAAAACGTATCTGTCTTAAAAATATAGCCTTCATACTTATTACGTATATGATTCTATGATGAGACAGTTTTTTAATTATATATAAGCTTCACATATTTCATGTTTTATAATACTATATATATATATGAATCTTCAAGAACGTCATGCATTGATAATCGAGCCATTCTTATTTTTCTTCGTGCGTGATCCTTTATTTTGATTTAGAAATAAAACAAAACGACATACTTATTAGAACTCTTATTGTACTAAAACTAATTAAATTTTAATAGAAGAACATTCTATACTATTCTTTAGTTTCATTCGTTATCCCTATTATTTATGCATATAAATACTTATGTAAAGATTCTTAAGAAACTACACATTCACATAATTCATTATTAGTATGATAAACGAAACAAACTATTTGATCGCAATCAAATACAATCATCTTTCCCAACAATTTACTAAATATGCGGGTGTTGTTCTGTACATTATCTGCCTTTTTGGTACTATCATGAATGTATTAACATTTGCACAACGAACATATAATCGACGAGCTTGTTCTCTTTATCTTTCAATTGCTTCTATTTGTGATTTTATTCATTTAAATTCTGGACCTTTAACAAATATTCTTCAATATGGTTTTCATTATGATTGGACAATTAATTCAAATACTTATTGTAAACTAAAAAGTTATATTTCATTTGTTTTTACTGTTATATCAGCTACATTGACAGCTATTGCTAGTATTGATCGATATATTCTTAGTTCAAGAAATACTAATCGATGGAAATTTAGTACTCGATCAATTGCTGTACGATGTATTTTATTTACGATCTTCTTTTGGATTTTTTTCTCAATTCCTATTGCTTTTTGTTATACTCGTTATAATCATTCATCACATAATGAACAATTAATTTGTTCAAATGTATCTCAACATATGCCATGTCATATAATTCAAATTATTTATACTTGCATATTTAACGGATTTCTTCCTCCTGTTATTATGATCTATTTTGGTTTATTAACTTGTACTAATGCTCGTAATCTTCGTCGTCGATCTTTAACAGATTCTGCTCGACTTCGACAAATTAATTATCAATTAACATTAATGCTTATTTTACAAACAGTTAAATCAAGTTTCGCATCTCTTCCATTTGCGATATTTAACTGTTATTTATTAGCTACCATAAAATTAGACAAATCACTAATTCTTCAAGCAAAAGAAAATTTAGTCAATCAAATTGTTTATTTGCTGTTTTGGAGTAATTACACGAGTTTCTTTGTATATATTTATTCATCGGATATATTCAGACATCAATGTATGAAAGCAATGAAAAGATTAGTATGTTGTTCTTGTAATGGAAAAAAACGACGTTACTATCATCGACCTGGTTTAAAACATTTAAATACTACTGCGCATATTTTTGATACGAAATATAAACCAGCACAAATTTTGTAATAAATTTTACATTAATAAAAAAAAATAAATATTTATGTATATTATAATTATCTCGAGGGTGTGAGTGGGAGTAAAAGGATACAACACCCACACTCTTTCATATTGAAAACGTTTATAGTTACCTTTTTTCTCATTTGTTGAATGTACGACTAGTTTTAATCAAATGATAATTATTACGAAAATCTACTTGAAAAACTCAGTTTTTAGGAAGAGTGTTTGCAGTAATTTGATGATATGTTCCTATAACGGGGATGTAGCTCATATGGTAGAGCGCTCGCTTAGCATGCGAGAGGTATTGGGATCGATGCCCAACTTCTCCACTTTTTCTTTTTCTCATTACGCTTCTTATTTACCTAGTTTATCGATAAGAAACCCATCTTTTCTGTTCTTGGTCACAATTATCCTTATATTATACGAAGTATGTCATTTATTTTATTGACGAAGATATTTTTACAAGTATATACAATAAAAAAAAACGCGATTTTTCTTGAAACTCATGTTATCCATAATATTCATATCGTTTAGTTTAGATAAAATCTTTTGATGCTTTTTCATTCATCAATATTGATATATTTCGTAAAAAATAAATTATTCGTGAATGAAAAATATTACTTATGTTATTATTCATAGCAAATAAAGTGTGAGTATGAAATATGATCTTCTCTCTGAAAACATGGAGTTAAGTCAAATAGGTTAGATAAATCTAATAATTATTGAAAAAATTCTATTATAACTCTTTTTATAATTAATATTGGAATTAATTGATACACTTGAACAATCACTTTCAATTGTTAGTAATGATCGCAAAAATCTTCCATAACTTTTATTTCGATATACATCTGGAATAATTATATTTTCAGATCTATAGGTATTGTGCTTATAATTCAAATGGTATTTTTACATATTCTAATATTCACGGAAAACATGTTCTTCTTAAACTACAGTCGACCGCGATATTCGATATTGTGGTGATTCTGATTAAAAGCACTGTATCTAATATTATGCTGTCCAGAGATATTAAAAACTGAGATAACCCTGATTGTATAAAGTCACGGTTCGCAACCACCGATTATTAGCTAGCTTTCTATAAAATCGTAATTCGTCACATGACGCTATTTCCTATTGAAATTGTGACTTTTTGCATCGTACTTTTATCGTTAAATATTTCTTACAATGTACAATTAAACTCTGAGAAAATGTATACCAATAAAAGAATGTTATGTCTTGCCATTTTTACGATACTTTTGAGAGTTTTCTAAATAGTTCTATCAATGAGGGCATGGGTAATGAATGAGAAGAATACATCCACCCACATGCACACTCTGTAGGACAAAACAATGCGTATGTAAGAAAAATAATGTTTTTTGTTCGACGAAATGCCATAAGAACGGTTCTTATTGTAACAATATGGAATGATCAAATTCTGAAAATACTTTCATGTTGTTTTTTTGTGAAATTCATTGAAAATTTTCTTGTATTGTTTACTTAGGAATGGGTATTCTATTTTGTTGAAATTAAAACTTTATATGTTATATTTTAGTTTTACTCTAATGTAATATGCAATTCAAACTCTCATTGGCTTAGGCGAATCCGACATTGGACGCTGACATATATATAATGTTCATTTCACATACTACAATCTCTTCAGTTGATTAGATGATGTTTCAGTTGTATTTTGAATATTTGTTTATGACTGTGAGTGATTTTAATGGAAGATTTTCTATCTTGAACTATTCGAAAATTTATATTTCATCGCTAAAAATCTTTTAATATTAACAAACAAAAAATATTTCATACAAATTGTTACAACTATGACTAAGACAAAAAAAATGGATTTGTTATTCATGATATTTTCTCTCTAACTACCATCTGTCCTTTTTTTATTAATCAACGGAGCTCGCTTCAAAAATCATATATCAGATGTAAATATTTTAATTTCCTCTTTTGAAATAGATACTTTTGTCATACTTTGATAAATATCATGCCGCTTATATGTGATTTTTCACCTCCGTTTTTTTTGTATGTAGATTAATATGCAGCAGATTTTAATATAATTTGATGTTGTTGATTTTCTAAAGAAGTTCAAATTCCATTTACTGAAAGAAGAAAGTTCTCAAGGACAGTACTGAATGGCAAAAAAGACCGTTCCAGAAGATACAAAATAGTTTCTTTTGCAGATTTTCAGGTCTTTTCGGAATATTCCTGACAGACTATAATCAGTTCTAATTTACATATATATTGTATCTGAATTTTACTTTTTTTCTTCTTTCAAGCTTCGGCTATGTGTTAGATATTATTAATAATTGTGGCTATATTATCGTAAAATCAATTATAAAATGATCAGTTTTTTATATATTACTATCAGCAACAAAATTCAAATTATTCGACCAGGACGCATATTTTATCAGCAAAGGCAATAAAAAATGAGATGATAATTCAATTATTGCACTAATATATGTGAATCAATTAGGGAAACAGAAAGAATATAGACTAAATTGAGTCTAAAATTTATGGATCCTTGCTCGATCTCTCTAGCATTTTTTTTAGGTTTACGCTCGAACCATAGTCTTGTTACTCTGGATGAAAATCCTGTCCGTTTCTCAAGCTATGATGACAGTGATCATATAGTCACCAAGGTATAAAAGTTTCAGATCCAAATTCAGTTCCATCTAAGATTGGCACCACAGGATCTGGAAGAATACCTACGCAACATTGAAAGATGAAAAAATGGCACAATTAAATAATGTATACCGTATTTGTCATCTTTACATGATAGTAAAAAGACAGAACGAAGAAATAGCAAATCATCCTGTAGCATATTTCGAGTCTTATAATTATTCTTTAATTTACCTAACCGACCGTTTCATTTATTCTTCTGACTACTTAAATGATAGCCATTATCATATACATTCATTTAAAACAGATATTATATGAATAAATGAAAATGGAAATAAATAAGTTTAGAAGGATGTTAAAATAATAAACAACTCAAAAAAATGAAATAACAGACTTTTTTTTATTAAAATATATTTACTATATAATATTTATGTTAAACGTGGAATATTGACTTGAAACTGTAAAAAGGAAATACATTAAAAACTGGCAAATCAACAATTATAATATGTGAAAACAGAAACAGATGCATTTGTTTATATTTTTCTATAGATTTTGAAAAGAGAGAGAAAGAAAGAAGTATATAATGAATTAAAATGATACAAATATTCAGTTCTTTATTCTAACTTGAAAATGTTTCATATGAAATATATTTTCTATTGTATTCTTTTACATTTCATTGCTGCTACTTCACAATTCAATCTTTATTATACAGATTTGAAGAATAAAAGTAATAATGCATTACAATATAATTGTCTACGTACTATTACGTTTATTGATGAGAAGGGTTTTAATAATATTTATGTTCGTAATTACACCAATGTCAAAATTAATGCTAAGAATCATATGATAATGTCATATTGTATGAATGAATTCTCATTCAAATATCATGTTCAAGAAAAAACTAGTCATTTTCCAAATTTTACTTTTTATGA